AAGATCTTAAATAATTTTCAAAGCTTCAGCACAAACTTCATACAAAATGTTATACTTCAAAAAGAACTTCATACAAAATGTTGCCAAAATGTAGAGGCTTACAACCCAAAAAATGAAGAACAAAGCTGAATTTTGAAGTATAGAGGGTAAAACTAAATAATCTTGAGTGTTTATGGAAAATGATGTAATAATGTAATATCCTCTCTTTTAGAAAAACAGCTAGAAGTATGGAGAGGAGCAAGTTTTACATTTTAAAGTATATTAGGTACAAAGAGGGCGGGTGCAAAATGAGCCAAAAGTCTTGCCTAAAACAAGTCGGAAATCTGCTAGTCCACTAAGCACTGTCCATGTCTTTTTGTCTTTGAGTTTGGCATTGTTTGTGTCACTGCATCTGTTTGTTGTACAGGATTGTGCCGATTTGCCTTTTGAGTTTGGCACGGATGCACAGTATGTGCCAAGCCTTTTCACACTTTTTCGCTTTTGTTGGTTTCTTCTTTCCCTTCTTCCCTTTGGTTGCCTCTCGAGATCCCTCATCAAACAAATTGCCGCCTAGGAATGAATGACCTAAAAACTCAACAAAACCGCTAGTTTTCTCGAACACAACGCAACCATGATACCGATGATGGGTGCAGATATACACAAATTAACAAAAACTAGCATGCAAAGGGACTAATATAACACCGTAATGCAAGCAAATAAACTATTAAATATCCTGAGTAGCTTGTCTTGCTTGGCAGCCCTATCAAATATTAGGAATTCAATATTAAAGTAGGCATACACAATATGAGGTAATGAACCATTAGAGGAAGTAGAGTGGAAACGTGGTGGCACCGCCTATGTCTACAAATTTGAGGTTCCATTCAATTGAATGTTAGTGAATTATGGGTACTTCTTCAAATTTTAATTTCATTTGTGACTTCAAGTATGATGTGGGCGTCCAGATAGGCACTTTTCCATGCCAAACTTCTGCTAGTCATTTCCATGGCAAGCTGATTAAGGATGCAACCTTTGAGATGATTGTAGTAGTCTATGCATGCAACCTATAACAATTTTGGTAGGCATGTACAAAACCACACCTCTAGTTATTGCTTTTTTATCATTTCCCTTGATTATATGTATCTTTTTTTAGACTTCCTAATCCCTACTATAACAATTCACTTCTCTTATCTCATCACTTTTGTCCATAAGGTCCTTGCCCGAAAACTCCTAAGAATATTCTGATGGTCTTAATATCCAATCTGAATGAGAGCACTTACCTGATGCATCCTGATACGGGAAACAAGATGATGTTTGAAAGAGACCCATGAATTCTCTTGAGAAATCTGCAATGCACAAATGCGCCGAGTGAATTGCGTAATCGTAGATAATATGAATAGGGTATTCATTGATGAATGACCATAAATCTGAAGTATGAAGTAGAAACTAGTTTTATATCAGTTATTTTTTACAACCCAATTCAAATTTGGTGACCAACCCTGCATAAAAATTTGTTGTTGGGTCCAAATTTTCTCGATCACGTTTCAGTTCTACACAAGCTTCTGATGTACTCTTTCTCCTGAAGGTTTGAAGTTGATTCAGTGGGTACTCAACCTTCTATGAGTCTGCTGATGTTACATGACCACCAGGATTGACATTTCTCAGATGACTTCTTTTTGCCTCTAAAAAGCACAAGGGAACACTTGTTGTCCTAGCTTTTGGTATATACTACCTGCTCTTTGAAGAATCATGCATCTCTTTGATAGTATTGGCACTATCTAATAGACCACATTATATGGCAGTATAGATCTATGCACCCTCAAATATATGATAATTGGAAACCAAAAACAAGTATACAATATGACCCAATACCGTCTTTTACAAGTTTTAGTGGGAAAATACCGATTATCGTCCACGAAGATATGAGTGGAAGTCTAGTAGAAGTTCCATTGAAAGAGATGATTTCAGATGATGAATTCGTGGAAATTGTTTTGGTTTGGTTTGGTTTTTAACAGCTAACGAAGATTCACATAATACAAAAGAAGCATGGTTGCAAGACTATGGATGGGATGTGACACAAATTTCAGCAGGCAATTGTTGCAGCAATTTATAGCAATGTATCAACAACAATAGTTACCACCAGTTATCCAAGGATGCTTTCTTAAGCTTTTACAAGCACATATAACCGGTCATGTAAATCTGCATATCTCTACGCAAGACCAGACTTTAGGTGAAGTGTACAATGATTTCCTTAAAATACATGAATTGACAAATCTCTTTGTTTAAAATAACTTTCTTAAGTATACTTGGCTACTTGCCATGCCATTCAAGTTGATGTGTTCTAAGTGGTTTATCTCTAAGACCACTACACTTTAACACTCTATCAAGTGATCGACTTGTCAAGAAGTGCCTTGTCGTCGTTTACAAACTCAAATGAAATGGTGGAACATAATTATTGAGGAACAATGTTCACCTTTCTTTGGTTTGGTATATCACCATTTGTCTTACATCCAAACTAAGAAATTTAGCTACTTATAACTGAATAAGTTTGCATAATGAAATAAAAAGAGAGAGAATTTAAAGACATGAAAGACAAGTATGTAACGTGCAATATGCAATGGTACAACAATATAAAGACAAGAATTAGATGCAAGAGAGTAAATGTCAAAAGTACCTAGTACTACTGATTACAACAAGCAGCATAACTTCAGTTCCAAGCTCCCTTTAAATAGTAAGAAAGGGAGGGGAAACATAAGAGGTAAAACACAAAAAGTGGTATAACCCAATGGTAAACTTCTAAAAAGGTTACAAGATATCTTCCAAAGGTGATGTGCTGATCTTCTGCAACTGTTCTCCATTCTTGAATTGTGAGTTGGCACTCACCAAAAGTTGACTACAACCTTTGCCTTTCCATCCAGTTGTTCATTATCTTCACCATCAGCAACCTCTCATTGCTACAACAATGACACAACAAACAACAGCCTGTCCAAAAGATTAGAATCAACACTTCATAGTCTTCGTTCAGATTAATCACAACCTTAGCTCCATAAACTAAGAAAGGGGAAAATAAGATAATAGAAGACTCAAATTTGGGATATAAAAGGAATAAGGTAGCTAAAATGGAAGAAATGAGTGCTATGGTATTGGTGAAAACAATGCATATCAGCGTCCCAGCCCTGGATATTCTAAATTGTGAATATGGGGTTCCTCTTCTATTGACTAGATGAAAAAAAAACTTCAGTTGGTGCCCTATAGCCAACTTGTCTTCACACAAGTTTGGGGTCCTAGGTTGGCTCTTACCATGCCCCCTTTGTGGCAAACTAAGTTAATTAATCCCGAGTAAAGATACTCCATTCATCTAACATTAAAAAACAAGTCCTAAATGACATGTGGTTCTACTTAAGAAGGAATTTTCCAAATGTGCCTTGTTTAACATTCTCATCTATGACTAATTTTTCCTAAAAGGTCAAGTTCTATCAGTAATTCTAGTAGCCCTTGATGCAATTTGAGATCTTAAGAAAGTAGATTTAAAATAATATGGTAAACTACTTTATATTAAATTTGAGAACGCAAAAATGAATAAATGTGATTATGTTTCTAAATTAAGAAATGGGAACCTTATTTGGAACAAATATAGAAGCAATAGTCATTTAATTTGGGACGTATAATCGAAACAGTGGGTATTTTATTTAGAAAGGAGCAACTAGGGTGCTTGTAGCTGATTATACGAGTGCCATGCAAGCATCATGATAATGCCACCTTATATTTTTCTGTCCTTAGAGTATCCCACAACTAAACTTTGGACATTTGTTAGTATTTTCATCATCGCTTATGTCTTCACTGGTAGTTGCAAGCTCTCTCTTATTCTTAATTGTCAGACATATAGCTGGATCTCGAGTATTCAAACTAGTGGCTCCAGTTTTCTGCATTGACCCTTCTAGTCTCACAAACTTTGTTATTTTTTCACTAAAATTTGTAAATGTAAAATTGATAAATCATGGCACCTTACTGATTTATATGAAGTTGCTTACCCAACTAGTTCATGACAAAGGCTTGTAGGTTGTTCTTGTTGCTTTTGGGCTTCCTGAGAAGCAGATGTGGACTTTATGTGAGACCGTCCAAACACTTGACTGTTATTCTGTTATATTGGATGGTGTTAAATGCTATGTAACAAAATTTGAATGAAGTTTTGAATGATTTTGAGATAATTCTGATCCGGGAATGTAATTTTTACCTATATTGGGACTTATGAATATGCTATTACTCCCTCTGTCCCATGAAATGCAACTTTTGTCTTGATATGTAGTTAAATAGGAGTCTTTGACTAGTAATGAAGTACCTAAAAAACTCCTTGATAAGATAAAATGATAGAATTTGTGAACCACAATCAATCCCACTACATAATGATTACCAATGGATAAATATGTAAATTTGGAAAGGGATTTTTCCGAAAAAGCAAATGTTGCATTTCAACCACACAAACAAAAAACTGCTACATTTTTGTTTTGAGATGTAGAGACTGCTGGGGTTTTGTATTGAATTTTGGGATTTCAATCGAGTATTCTTTGTTCAAAATAGACTTGTAAGGACACATCACATTAGATAAGCAACACAGTGGTATGTGTTTCTACAAGTGTGATTTGGCACTTGATGGAACTGCAGAAATAAATGCACTTAATGAGCTACACTGTCTGAATGAGAGGTGTATCCATTAAGAATTGAAATTCTCTTTAACCTTTCAACAGATAGACCACTAATCACCTATTTCCAGTTTTCTTTTTTTTGGAAGTATATATGATAATATATGGCAAATACGCATACACACTCCTCAGCTTGGTGAGGTTTGAACCCTGACCTCCAAGGAGGTTGGGATCTTACCTGTAACCTGGGTACTGATGGCCCAAAGTCCCTTAGGAAAAATGCTCATCTTGTTTTAGTGCATTGCATCCAAAACCATCTTTCTTCTCCCATAGTGCTACATATTAGTTTTCCTGGCTTCATCAAGTTTGCATTTCTTCTTTCAGTTTCTGGGTCAACTTAGAAATCAGCTTGACTGATTCCATATACTGGGGTAATGTTGAAAGATAATTGGGAAGGGAAGCATGGTATCAACTTGCCAGTTCACACAACTTGTTCGAAAGGCATTCAAGGTACTCATGTGGGCAATATGATACTTCAACCTCTTCAAGGATTTTCTGATAATGATCTTGCTGGGTCATCAAGCAGGGCAACTGTACCAGATTTTGTTTCATCTGGGTCAACATCTGAATGTTTTATTCCTCGACAATCAAACTTGCAAGGTGGTAAATATGGAACGTCTATTAATCAACCAATGTCTATGGAACCAGTGAGCTTCAGGAATCAGGTCGACAATCAGTTCCATCAGCAAAATAATCTTTCAGAAACTCGACCAACTTTCAATACAAATCCATGTGGAAATGGAATTGAGAAAATAGGCATTACCTCCCATAACATGGTATCGCAATTACAGCCTAGCCTTTTGGACAAGAATCTGCCTGTTGAAGAAGCTTGCAAACCAATAGATAATGTTCATGCAAAAACTGAAGCTCATAAATCTTTGCACTCCATGAAATCATGTAGTACAGACGCAGAAAAATCTTTACTTGGTTCTAATCTGCAAGAGTTGATAAAGTTTCTCTCTGCCAATCATGGTTTATCCATGAAAACACCTCTGGAAATGGGAACTCCCGAATATCTGAGACTTGTTGAGATCTTGCACCAGAATTCTGTTCAACCTAATGGGTTCTCGGATCAGTTAAATGGCAGAAGATGTTCTCAAGAAGAATTCTCTGGTGGATCAGAACAAAGTGGTTCTAATTCAAAAGTTGATGGAACAAAAAATACCCCAAGTGTAGAGAGAGCCTCGTTTGCACCTTCAGTTAGCACCGAGCAAGATGAAGTGAGTAGAACGATGCACAATGAAGCACAACTTGGACCTGGAACCAATTACTTTCGTAACAAACTCGAGTGCACCAACGGGGGCAGTCATCATGAAGGAAGTACCAAAGGGAAGGAAGTAACAGTCCTTCCATCTTTGCACAAGCCAAAACTTGCTTTGGCAGAAGATGAATCCTCTATTTCCAAGACAGTGGTAAAAAAGCTGCCTTCTGAAAGGGCAACTCATGTAGCTATTGAAAAGCTGTGGGAGGGATCTCTTCAACTAAGTTCTTCCGTCACTTCAAAAGTGGTTGCCTTCTTTAAGAGGTCTTTTCAATTTACCTTTCACTTATTTAAAATTCTTTTAACAGTCTTAACTAAGACCAAGTAATTCTTCAGCAAATGTTATCACATGCAACTGCAAATATTAGTTCAAGTGTAATAATGTTGGAATTTTCTCCTGCTTTTTGTTTGAATCTAAGATGCTCCTCGGATGACGCATGGATATGTGCATTGAATAATGACCAAGAACTTGCTGCATTATACTTCTTGCAAGATTAAATTACATTTGTCTATGTTTAGATATCCTGATTGCTACATTACACAGGGTCGGTCAATGTTCTTTAGGACATTGTCCCATTTCTTTTGATTATGGAGTTGCATGATCGTTTGATGTAAGGGTGTAAGACTATAGGAAACATCTTATGTGTAATTCATGTTTTATGAGGTAAGGGTTTAAGATTAAGGGAGGACATGATCTTTTGTCAATATATTATACCATTTGGGCAGTGCTCAAAAAAGTGCTAGATGGAGCTGGGGGTAGTTGACTGAAGGCCTAGCCTTGGTTAAGTTGGATTAAGCAGATCTGTAAGAGGACACATTAAGTGGTACAGATTTAATGTATAGGATAAAATATATGGAACTGCCTATAATGTTAGGGTCAGTTACCTATTTGTCTATGTGCATTCTAGAAAGCAATAAGCTAGCTTGATGGGGTTGAGTGATCTTCTAGTACTTGATCACCTAAACGGCGATTAAGGGATGCATAAATATTGTGACGCTTCTTTTTTTATAAGGCCTTTTGTCTTTACCTTTTTATGTATCGTAATGGACGATTCCATCGGTTATAATCGAAAAAAAAAGGTCAGAAGAGGTTTTTCAAACAAACAAACAAACAAACATATTTTTCTTCATATTTTTGATTTTTGTCTTCTAGTACTTGATCACCTAAACGGTGATTAAGGGATGCATAAATGAAAGTATATGAAGTTCTCATAAATGCATAAACTATAATTTTGGTGAGCTTATGTAAACACACAAGAATTATAATTTTGGTACTATGTTATATCGATATAGTTACTTTTTGAACTAGTTTAATTGTTGCATTGATTCAGTTACCTAGAAAAGATTGTTAAGACGATCGAAGCAGTGAAAAGTTAATTGATGACCTCAAGCTTAGAAAAGTCCACCAATTCCAACTCAAATCTGTGAGATGCTTAATTCAATGAGTAGTTGCCAATGAAGAATTGCGGAAGTCCTAGGCAGACAATTAAGCGGCCCTGACTAATAGGAGCAGTGGGACAAAGGTTAAGCCTAGGCGGCCGCTTAAATGGCCCTAGGTAGGGATTTTTGAAACACTGCACTTGAGAGATAATACAGATCTTTATCTTTTGTTCCTTTCTCCTTTTTCCCCTTTGCTTAGTATGAATGTTGTTTGGTAGCTTGGATGGAATTCATTTGCTTCAGGAGATATGTTGTTTGTTCAAAATCTGTCCCAAGCTTATTAGTAGCCTGTAGCCTGTAGCCTATAGCCTAATTCATTATTTGGTTATAGCTTCATCTTTATAACCCCTGTTGGATCTTTAGTGCTCTCATCTGTTATATGCTCCAAAGCTTATTTGTAGCCAGAATCCATTATTTGGTTATAGCCTTCATCTTTGTACATAAATACATAATCTCGTCTGAGTGGAATTGGGAAATTAGATCTTTGGTGCTCTCATCTGTTATAAGCTTATAAGCTTCTTAGTAGCTAGAATCCATTATTTGGTTACAGCCTTCATATTTATACATAATCCTGTCTGAGTGGTATTTTGAAATTGGATCTTTAGGCTCTCATCTGTTATATGCTATAGGTGAATACATACTCTTTCTTCAAGTTTTCATCATATTAGAAGGATACCTGCATGTCCTTATTACCCCAGCTTGTTATCAGAGACAAGTATCACTGAAAATTTGTTCAATGTAATCATAATTAGAATCCTAAGATTAATTGGTTGAAACCAGGTGCTCAAGCTTATAAGCTGCTTGTGCCACTTTTCATATTGTACATTTATATTAACGTACTATGGGCTTCCCTCGAGCAACACATAAACCTCATCTATCCAACTAGCTACAAGCTTAGAACCTTGTAATTCCTTAGTTACAAACAGCAGCACATGTATATTTTGAATACAAACTCAATATTATGTTATTATAACTTAAGGTAATAATAGCTTGCCATATTGCCAAATATCCTTACCAGCTCTTTGCAGTTGTCAATGCCAATATATTTGTGGGTCTACACTCCACTTCAATTGATTCACCCACCCAACTGCTTTCATACTTATGCGTCTTAAATGGTCACAAGCCTTTCATGAAATCTACATTAAGAATGTATATGGTGCAACACTTTTTGGCATAAATCGTATTTTCCAGTGCCTTGTGGAACTATAGTTGCATCCCAAGAAGTGGCATACGATGATTATATAACCTGGACAGACGCATTTTGACAAATTGCAACTTGTTCATCACAAAGTTGCCCACTTGTTACTGTTTTCCCTGGAAGCCTGCTTACATAATAGAACAAAAGCATCCTTGCCAAAATTTTCAATGCTGCCTCAGATAATTGGCCTTCTAGCGACGGCTCAGATAAAAATCAAGGAGACATTTCAAGCAACTGCAGGAGATCAATTCGAAATCCAAGCTAAATCAGGAGCATGAATCTCCTGAACATTTGGTTTTGAACTTTACTACAGTTAGAGAGAATTTTATGAATGCCTGAAGTTTACTCAGCTGTGGGTGAACTTGCACCTGCTATGCTACTTGCTTCTAGTTTGAGGATGAACTCAAGCTGGACTGCACCAGGCAAGTGTTTTTACATGTAGAGGCTCAACACGTTATTCTATGACTTGGGATAATACTTATACAGTAAACCCAGAAATATAGATTGAATGACCAAGATAACCTATTGCATTAGATCATGAACTTTTTAACAATTAACACTTTGACCAACCAAAAGCGGAAAGCACAACAATGTATAAGATGCTTGGAGCTGAAGAATAAGAAATATATCTAGCTCACAGATCTTGTGATTCTTGCATTAATGCATCTGATATTGATATAAGGATTGGCCAGAGCTTGAATGTCCTTGTCAATTGATGATGAGATGGCATGAAAAAGTTGATCTAACCTCCTTTTCTTGTCAATGAAATCAAGCAAAAAGTTGATATAGAACCCAGGTAAAAGCTTCACATTGACTATCAAATGATTAGTTTGAGGGTTGTTTTGTATGGTATGATCTTGCCATCCCATCTCTTTGTTAACGTTGTGGCAGTCTCCTAAGGCTTTGATGCTGTTAATTGCATTTATTTTTAAACTGTGTTTTTCTTTTTTATTTGCTCTTATCCTCGATTGCTCGTAGATGGTCATTATTGACAAAACAAAAGCACGTTTTTTTGGAGTTTATAAGCTTTCTACCATCAGATTTTGTTACGCTTGTAATATCAATTTTGTGTTGGGCTCTGCTTAAATGGAAGTTCGAACATAAAAGATGATCAAATAACAATTTGATTGAGATGATAAACTATCATCTATGAAGCTATACATATTGTAGTTTTGGATTATGGATTGTCTAGGGTCTTATGTGTGATTGTTTTTATGTAGTGGTGAGAAGTTGCTTGGTAACAATTGGCCAGAATTCATAGAAGTTAAAGGAAAAGTAAGATTAGAGGCTTTTGAAAAATATGTTCAAGACCTTCCACGTTCACGCAATCGCGGGTTAATGGTAAGATGTTACTTTCATCTTCGCTACATGTATTTAGGTACTTATTATGAACACTATATGAGTATTATATTATACAAAAATATTTACTCTTGATGCCAAAAATTAGAAAAACATCACCTTGCTATTGAAATTGCTTTTAAAGGATTTATTTTGCTAAATGGAAATTGACAGGTGCTTGTCTCTTCTCCTTGCTTTAACTATAGTATCAACTCTATTTCCTTGATTATTCGTTTATTAAAAAACAATTACGATCTTAGTGTGTTCTATATATCTGCTTTCATTTTTTCTGTATACTGTGTTTGTTAAATCAAGACGTCTACATCATAGATAGAAGTAGGTGATTCTAGTTTAAGTTGATTTGTGTTTGATTAGTCATATTGACTTGCTTCATGATGATATTTTTTATGCATGTTTCCATATACTTGATATGTAATGGACAGGAAATGTGTGAAACATAGATTAGGTGAACACTATTAAAATGCTGGCATAGAAGTTCTTTGGAAGGATATTTACGTTGTGCCAGACAATATGTCTGCATGATGACTTCAATTGGAAACGAGTAATTGATTAGATTCAGTTCTAATCATTCAACGGACAACTTGAAATTTTGATAAGCAAATGTAACAACATCTACTCTATGCATATTGTGATGGATTTAGGTTTTGAGAGGATACAATGGAGGAAATTGCTTTTCATTATTGAGGCACATTTAGAGAAAGGTGAGCATTCATTTCTAGTCCTTGGATCTTATATATATATTTAGTAAGTTAGGATTGCTAGATTTACGATAGAGGGATAGAAACCTCTTTATAAGTGCTAGAGAAGAATTGTGCAAAACACCTTCCCTGGGCCTTGCAAAGTTGAGGAGCCTTGATGCACTGTCATGTTAGGTCTTAGGGTGAGGATCAGATCAAGGTAACTAAGATTGTTGGAGTAGGGGAAGAATTCTCTGGTTGGGAAAAGTGGTTTGTTAAAAAGATTTGTCGAACCATAATTGAGCTAAATTGGAAAAAAAAGGTTCATCATGCAATGCGACTCGATTTCAGTTCAGTAATTTGGCAATCTATATTATACATTTCATATTAGGTTTGGTAATTTGAGTAACAGGTTAAATGAACTAAACCACTTATGATTATATATATATATATATATATATATATATATGTATCACGTTTTACATCGGAAAATAGATTAAAATATCTCAAGTTATATTTATTTCAGAAGTCAAAATTGCAAATTACTAAATTACACGAGTGAATATAGATTCCTTACATGGAAATGCCGATAAATCAAACAAAACAGACCCAATATTTCCCACCGGAAGGTAAGTTCTCGTGCCCCGGGGAGGGGGGGGGGGTTGTAAATGTATGCAATTCTTACCTTCCATCCAAGAGACAGAGAGGTTGTTTCCCAAAAGACCCCCGACTTACGAAGCATAACTAAAAAGGACAATAGAAGGCTACATTTAAGCAATTTTTTCTTTTAGATTTTGAAAGCATGCAAATAACCTATCAAATTAAAGAAACTTCCATTTCCAACACACGAAGCCACTCAACCTATATGAACACCTTTGACCCTCCCACTATCCTCCCCCATCATCTATCCGACTTGCAATCGACTACCCTAATCCACCACCTCCATAAACTCCTATTTGAATCGTATGTCCTCCTCGGCTTGCCTCGCCTTTTATCACCTCAATCAAGATACTCTCGAGCAGATTATTGCCTAACATTTTGAATCGTACAACATAGCCGGTCTAATAGCTACTTCGTGGACTTGCCCTTTACTTTTAATGGGACCTTCCTGTCACACATATCTCCTGTGACCATGCTATCATCTGATGTCAAAAGCTTGTAATTGAATTGTTACGTAAAGGAATTCACTCCTATGGCATTCGAGAGGCCATGGTCTCTCCAGAGCAAAGCTCGTTTACAACTGAATTGAAGAAAAACAGAATGACCCTAAACAGAAGCTTCCTGCCCACAAAAAGGCTCCCACTCACTAGACAAAATGGAAAACTTGAAAATACCCCTAAGGACTTATTCAAAACAGAAAATAAGAAATTACACTAATTTCCCCTCCTATACGTGAACCAAACCGGAGGTACACCAATACTCCCCCAAAAGATTTCACCTTGTCCTCAAGGTGATTATTAGGAAATTGTTGTAACAAAGCTTGTAAATTCTCCCAAGAAGACTCAAATTAAGACATTCCTTTCCATTTCACGAAAACTTCCAACTGTCCCGGTTCGCCTTGAGTAATTGGGAGAATATCTAACAGATCCTCCGGCTCGCTTGAAGAACCAAATCTTCCTTAATCTGAGTAGGAATTTCTGTTGTAGAAGCATAATTGACAAAAGCTTGCTTTAATTGCATCACATGAAAAACATGATGTATCTTCACTCCCACCGGTAGCTCCAGTTTGTAAGCTACTTTTCCAATCTGCTCCAAGATCTTATAGGGACTATAAAATATGGCTAACAACTTTGGTTGATTATCCTTCACTAAAGATTTCAGCCGATAAGGACGTAATTTTAAGAACACCCAATCTCCAAGTTCAAAGACCACATCTTTTCTTTTTAAGTCGGCCTGTTGCTTCATCTTACATTGAGCCTTCAACAGATGCATCCTGACCTCATCCCAAATTTCATCTCTGCTCATTAATTTCTGTTCTACGGACTGCAAATTTGAGGAAGCAGATTTATGACGTATCAACGGTGGAGGATCTCTCCCATAAAGGACGCGGAAAGGAGAACACTTAAGTGAGGAATGAAATGAAGTATTATAAGACAAATCAGCCCAAGAAAACCATTTACTCCACTGCCTCGATCTGTCCGAAACCCACCATCTTAGATACTGTTCTAAGCATTTGTTCACAACTTCCGTCTGCCCGCCCGTTTGCGGGTGATACGCAGTACCAAACCTGAGTTTAGAACCTTGTAGCTTGAATATCTCTTTCCAAAACACACTTTGGAAAATCTTATCTCTTCCAGAAACTACGAATTAAGGCACTTCATGTAGCCGTATTTCCTTTGCAAAAACTTCAGCAACCAATTGAACATTATAAGGGTGTTTCAATCCAATAAAGTGGGCATACTTACTAAAACGATCTACAACCACCATAATGGTGCTACTACCATCAGACCTTGGTAAGCCTGCAATAAAATCCATCGATATTTCCTCCCAAACTATAGAGGGCAGTGATAGATGTTGTAACAGACCGCTGGAGTGCCACTTAGTCTTATTCCGTTGAGAAACTTCACAACTTCTCACCAAGTCATTTATATCTTTTCTCATGCCCACCTAGAAAATCTCAGTAGCTATGCGCTTATAGGAACGATCTGGCCCGGTATGACCTCTAGTCGGAGATCCATGAAACTCCTCAAACAGTAAAGGAATGAACTTGGATGTCCGGGGTATTACCAACCCACCCTTATACAACAGTAAACCCTGTTGTAATTCAAATCCTTTATGGGCCGTAGTGTCTTGCAACAAATCAGCCTTTAACTTCATAAGAAATTCATCTTCCTCTATTTTACGTTTCAAATCATCCCATTGTCTCCACTGTGGTTCCTCCAAACTTGAACATTCCAAATCATCTTTCTTCCGAGATAGAGCATCCGTCGCCCTATTAACACATCCTGGTTTGTAAACAATCGAAAAGTCGTATCCCAACAACTTACTCATCCATCTTTGATATTCCGGTTCAACCACCCTTTGTTCCAACAGGAATCGAAGACTAACCTGATCACTACGGACCGTAAAATGCCTTTCCAACAGATAAGGCCTCTATTTACGTACAACAAAAACTACAGCCATCAGTTCTTTCTCGTACACAGATTTCTGTTTTGCTCTCAATCCCAACGATTGACTGAAATAGGCTATGGGCTGCTCGTTTTGCATCAAAACAGCTCCCAACCCGTACCCTGAAGCGTCCGTCTCGATGACAAATTCCGCTGAAAAATTAGGAAGTTTCAAAACAGGTGTTGTTGATAACAACTTCTTCAATTCCTCAAAGGCTGATTGGGCTGTTTCTGTCCAGAGAAACTGGTTCTTTGAGTAAATCTGTGAGGGGAGCAGCCACCATTGCATACCCTTTAATGAACTTCTAGTAATAACCATACAGTCCCAAAAATCCTCGTAACTCAGTAATTGTAGTCGGAACTTTACATTCTACGATAGCCTTTATCTTAGACTCGGCTACCTCTACACCCTCACCTGATATAACATGCCCCAAATAACCAAGTTTATCACGGCCGAATTCACACTTTTTCTTATTAGCGTAAAGCTGTTGTAGGGCCAAAATGTTAAGAACAGTCTTCAAATGTACTAAATGTTCTAAATGTTCCTCCCAAGACTTACTGTATACCATTATGTCGTCAAAAAATACCAATCCAAACTTTCGTAAATAACAACAAAAAATTTCATTCATTAAACCTTGGAATGTGATGTAAACTGATAGCAATTGTCGGCTGTTTATTGTAATCAAAACAGAAAATGGAGTATTCCAGACTTTCGAGAGGTCTGGTTCTCTCCCAAAGAGTTTACACTCACTTTAAAAATACAAAAAACAGAATATCTCAACCCCTAACAACTCAGCCCCACTTAAAGGAGACTTGCCGCCTTATTCTACCCAAGAGTACCAAAAATACCCTTCACTTATTCACAATAACAGCTAAGACCCTTTAACAACTAACCCCTTC